AGCTTTCAGAAAATGTATACTTTGTTTGTGTTATACTATAAAGCCAGCGCGTTATTTAAGTTTGCGCGCATAGTGGTCGTAAACGTATCCTAATAACTTAACGCTGTTGCGGTCACCCTGTCATATATATCACAGTATTTTTTTCCAGTTAATATATTTCCAGTTTAATATATGGCGAAACTAATAAATAAATAAATAAACATGGTCTTAAATGGGAAAACATGACGACAGAGCCGAGGAGGTCTATTGAAACCATAGAATAGGCCCTTTGCAGTTAACGGTCACGTGTCTGTACTGGACTGCAAAATTTTTGTTTTTATATTAAATTGGTGATTCTTTTTAGCTACTTGTAAAGAACTGAATGAAAACATGTGTATCCAGTGTGTTACGAAATGCACTTTTTTTACGATCTCCGAAAAGCTCGTTTGCAGTGCAGTAAATTTCACCCATGGGAATCAAGATGTTCATTCATTTGCTCTCAGTGAATTAATCAGCATGTGATTGCTTAGCTGCAAAGGGCCTATTCAAGATGGAAGTCGTATGGGTAAAAAACGTCTAATAAAGAGTAGTAACTTACCCTTAGTGGTGTTGCTTAAGCCATCATAAACCAAGTAGCTGTAATCTTCGTGCTTGAGCTAATTTAGATCATAAAAAAACTCATGTAAATATATAAAGACCCCTTGCAGCACTTTGGAATGTAGCTCAATCCAGGGGACAAAACAATAGTTTACAATAATTCTCGGGAGATTGAAATTCTTTAGTTTTGTCCGCCAGATTGAGCTGCTTTGACGTCACATGCAAGGGGTCTATTGTTGTGCATGGCAGTTTGTCCTTTGGCTAACAAACCTGTGCACGATCAAATATGAATTCAAAAGTTGTTTTTTGTGGAGGGAGGAAAAACGGAGAGCCTAGAGCCCAGAAGCACAAGAGAGAACCAACAAGCAACTCTATCCGTGTCGAGTATGATGGTGAGTCCCAGCCTGGGCATCAAACCCATAACAATACAATTAGCTATACTCACTGATTGGTCAAGATTTTCGTGGCACTGGTTCAACCGTACTTCCAGTTCACCGAGTTCGTTCAAAGACGTCTTCCACTGAAACAAGAAATTAATGCCATAAGTAAGTGTACAACGTTTGCGCAGGTGTAAGTTCAAGCGGAATTTAAAGTGCATTTTAGTAAGAAAATCAAGGGCGGATCRATGTTAGCCAATAAGAAGTCTATTAGTTAAGACTTACCAGAGCTTTGATTGTTTCATTGTCCTGGTGTAACTGATCCTCGGCTAGAAGAATCAAGACTGTGTTGGAGTGGGCTTGTACATAAAGGTTAAAATGGACCAGTCCATCGACGTCCTGATAATGGAAAATATCATACAACCATCCCGTTTAGTGCAAAAATGAAATGATCAAAATGAAAATAGAAAATAAAACTAGGGCAATGCTTTATTTTGAATTTGTTTCTGGTCAAAATCTGACACCGGTGCTTGGTTGACATTCCCCCTTTTTTTTCCTGCGAAAAAGTCGAATTTTAGAACCAAGTACTTTTCAATATTTCTTTATCCTCACTCGTACTTAGCACTAGATTATTGATAGATATTACATGCAACCCAAGATCTACTGAAAGTCGAATTCTCTTGTCTTCYGCCAGCGTTTTCTTTTTTATTCGAGCAAAGCGGAAAATTCCGAGCGCCGCGAGCGAGCGACGTCCCATCCACGTCAGCAGTGATGACGGCAGTGCGGTAACTTTGGTGAAAGTCAAGAGTGAAAACGAGCGCGCGTGCTTTGTTGAGTTATACAAGCACGCGGGAAATTGCGTGAGTCAGAGAGAAGTGCTAAGAGAAGCACGAGCTGTAGGCACTTCTCTCTTTTATAAAATAACTAAGATATAACTAACGATTAACTCAAAAGAAATACCAAAAAACATAAGAAACAAACAAAACATCGCGGGCGCAGCTGACGTCATTTCCTCATGATATATGTTGAGTTATATAAAACGGTAATTGACCAATCAGAGCGCGCGCTATATCTTAGTTATTTTATAAAGCAGAATGTAAAACGATTAAGTTTTCAAGGCATTAACTGCGCTTATTTTAAAATGATTCAATCCGTTACGAACCTCGAAAGCATTGTCATCCATTTCTTCATCACGATCGACTTCTTCTTTATCGTCGTCGCCATTGTCTTCCTTTGTCTGCTCAACTTGTTCTTCAGCATCCTCATCGTCACCATGATCCTGAGGCACGCCGGGATTGCTGTCAACTTCAGTTTCACTATGGGATACATTATCTGACCCTTCATGGAAAAGACACAGTCCCGAGTCTCCCAAGGTATCCTTACAATCCTCGGGACACCCGCGGGACATGTCTGTCGAGGTAGTATCATCGTACTCTGACAACCCGCTTGACGTTCGGCTATCTCTGTGACAGCCATTCGCTCCGGAATCTAAAGACTCTGGATTTGACTCTCCATGTTTGATACCGTTCGTTTTCGTCTCACAACTAGAAGAAGTTTCAGCGCTGTCCTTACTTCCATCGACCAGGTCTTTGAAAAAAGATTTTTCTGAGTTCTTGTTCTTGGGTAAGTTCAGGTTTTTGGGAGAATATTTATTGACTGCAAAGTCGTTTTTGTTTAGAGTTTTATAATCTCGTAGAAGTTCACTACTTGATTCTTCGAGGAATTTCTCGTCGGATATCCCGCCATCGGTGACGAAGTCTTCCAGCGAGTCATGATACTCACTGCCCGGACTTCCGCACCCTTTTGATGAAGCATCATCGTCGGACACTCCTGAAGAACAATCAATAGTACATTCGTTTCGTCTTTGAGACGCGGGGTCATTGGTGTCTGTGTCAGACATTTCTGAAAAAGAATCAGTAAGAGCGCCCGCGGGATTCCCGCAAAGGCTACTGTAAGTTCGTCTATCTTCGGACTCGTTAGTAAAGATGCTTTCACTCTTTTCTCTACAGCCATTTTGTTCCATCAGTTCGGTTGTACTACAGCCAAGATCAGACTGAGATGAAGCATCTTCGGCTGCTGCTACAGGAGATTTAACACTAGCTTGTTCTAAATCTTCTCCGTTTGAATAGCCATTTTCTAGCGCGCCTATACGAAGTATGCCATTGTGCTGTCCTTCCGAGGTCCCAAAATTAGATTCTGAGACGTGACCGTTGATTGGTTCCTCCATATCGAGGCCTAAAGAAATCGGCTGCTTTCGACATCCATTCATTATATCACCCTGGCAATTGGTTTGTGAATTTGGTCCCTCGTGATATTGGTTAGAAAAAGAGCTGAATGGTAAATCTTCATCAGACGTCGTATGAACGGAGATACCATTCGATAATATGCCATGAGTTGAACGTGAGTCGGACGTTTTGACAACTTGTTCAATAAGATCGTAAACGAATTCTTTGCAAACCTCTTTGACAGTTTCTTGGGATTCACTTGAGCTTATTTCAGAAAAAACTCCTGCTTCATCACATGGAAAACTGCTATCCTTCTCCGCGAAAGAAACAATCTTAAGTTCTTTAACGTCAACTTCATCCATTGTTAATTCTTCCTCATCTGAACTAATGCTATCACAACGATAATCGTCTTGCGTACTAGGAGCTGGATAACAAGTCCCATCTTTCAAACTTAACCTTTCTTGGTAATTCGTAAGGCTTGTGGCGCCGATTTCCTCGCTAACTTTATTTTCGTCGTCATCTTTGTCGGTATTCTCTTTCCCAATAGGTAACTCATTCACAGTCTTAGCAGATAAATGCTTGTCTTGGTAGAGAGTACTGTCAGAAGTTTCGGAGTGCTCGTGATGCTTCGAGGACAGGTCCATACGAAGTTTATTCCCATCAATTAAGTCGTTCTTCATTTCTTTTCCCCTAAGTTTCTTTTGACTAGATTCATGTTTGAGTGTGGAGGGTAGATCTGCTTTGTCAAGAGAGCTCACATTTCGTTCTCTGACACTACGATTTTTTGTTTTCGGTTTTGCTATCTTGTTAGATTTATTTTTGCTGCAATTTTCTTTGGCACCAGAGACTCCTTGGGACTCAGATTCTATTCTTTTTCGAACTGATTTATGAAGCAAGCCATTGAATCGCTCCCCCACGACTCTGTTTAGTTCCTTTCCTTGCTCGTCTTCGGCTGGTGCAGACGATCCGGTTGGATGAGAGGATGGGTTTTGATGATATGGGGACCTCGACAGCTCTTGTATCAGCCGCTCGTATTCATACGTGGTAAGAAATGAATGAAGAATACGAACACCAAAAGGAAGGTTAATTTCTGAAGTAAAATTATCGAGATACAAGTCACTTAATGGAAAGCACGGGTGGCGTAGCGGTGAGAGCACTCGCTTCTCAGTAAAGCAACCGGGATTCGATTCCTCGACTAAGTGTCGTATGTGAGTACAGTTGTTTGTTGATTCTCTTGTGTGCTTCATCCTATTTCTTCCTTTCTTTCTTCCTTCTTTCTTTCTTTCCTTCCTTCCTTCCTTTCCTCCTTCCTTTCTTTTACTTATTCAATGTTCATATTCTAGCTAGAATTCCAAAAGGAAGGAAAATAGGAGAACCCGGAGAAAAACCCTCAAAGCACAGGAGAACCAACAAACAGCTGTAGCTTTTGTCGCGGTTAAAAAAGCTACGGGAAGAAGAGGAGGGAGCATCGTCCAAAATTTAACAACCACTGAAAATAAATCGAAGTTCTCCTTCCTTCCCTGCGCACCTTTGCCCACCCATCTTCACCTACCCAAATTCCTTCAAATTTGGAAATTTGAAATACATGTACCCTTTCCAAGGGCATTTTCAAACATCCATAACCTCTTAAAATTAAAAAATTAAAAAAAATTTAAAAAAATTTGAACAGCGATTTGATTCTTGTATGTTGGTACATACCAGTGTTCACCTGCTTTGCTGGATGCTGTAAATAAATAAAGAATTAAATAAATTAATATATATATATATATATATATATATATATATAATTATAATAATATAATTCTATTATGAAATTAATAAATTAATTGAATGGACACTTTTAAATATAAGCTAAAAAGGAATTATAAAAATAGGATCAAAGGATGTTTAACTATCTTAGAGTGAGAACACTCGGACTGTGAGCAGTAAGTGAGTTTTTCATCACTTCAAAAATAATATGCATACTGTAAAAATTATCCCTTGAGCCATTGATTGGAAATAAGATTTATTTTGATCACTTGGCGTATTTTAACTCAATCCTTCATTTTAGAGGGTTGAAACAGTAGAATGTTTAGAAAATAATAAGCTGAAAAAACTCAAAGTGTTCACGAATAGACCTTTCCCGAATTCGCTTGACTGGTCATGAAACAATGGTTTCAAGTCGAGGTTGAACTTGATGAATTAAAAGAACCAAGTTCATGCTCCATTTCAAACCATTGTTTCGTGGTCAGTCAAGCGAATTCGGGATAGGTCTATTGAGTAAAAATGTAATGTTGTGAAATCAATATATCTTTAAGGAAATCTTGAAAACTCACATGACTTTGGTTAGGCTTAAACAGCAACAGCCTTCTGGTAATGCACGGCTCTAACTGAGTACATAGCACACTGCAAGATAAAATGGAACCAAGTTAGATTGACGTTGAGGGCCAATTCTCTAAAGTATTTAATAAAAACTTGGGAGAATCATTTGTTTATAATTGCTTTCATTGTTGTTTAACACTTAGAACTGTAAAGCACTGTAAAGCTACACCTTGTGGATCCACACTACTTTGACAATGAGGACAGACACATAAAGAACTGATGTCAATTTGTTAAATAAACAATTATTGAAGTATACAATATATTTATTAAAAATAAATAAATATTTATTAATATCATTGTTACCTTTTCTTATACAGAATGCAGCCACCAAGAACATGACGACGTCTTTGACAAGCTTGAAGAATGTGAGATGCCTTGAGAAAGCTTCCAGATGAGGTCTAATAACAAAAAAGACTAAATATTTCACTTTTTTGTACACAACATCTGGGGCAGATCCAGTGTGTACTGTAGGAAGGAAAATACAAAAATGACAAAAAACTTAAAGTGTTCATGACTGAAGTTTCCTCACTGTAAAGGGTTACATGAAAAGGTTACATCACTTAATATTGTTTCGGCTTCTACTTTAAATTTATGTAGCTTACGTCTTTAAATACCATTGAAACAAAGCACTGAGGTGATCTTCTTGGATATCAGCTTTGTAGCTAAAGAAACAACCTATTCACTCTAGCTTTTTATTGCTGAATTTAAAGATTCAAGCTTACCTTGGGTGTTTTGAGGAATGGTAAGGGATCAAAGACAGCAGGCAAGGTGTCTCCATAGTAACGAATGAATGGTAGATAACAGTCCCATATGATGGTCATGTTTGATAGAAATGATATGTGGTCTTTGGAAAACTGCCAGCAGGAAGAAATGAATTCAATTCAATTTTCTGTCTCACTACTTTCTCACCAGGCAGTACTCTGAACTCAAGTCAAAGGAGGATTCAGCAGTATCCCAAGTGCCTTTCCATGATTATTATTGTTTTCTTAAGCTTTCACACGTTTATGTGAATTTTTTTGTAACAATACTTCTACCTAACATTCTAACATTACTAATATTAAGGTGTTACTTTAGCACATGACTAATTTGGCAACTAAAAGTAGTCAGTTGTAGGATCTGTACTCAAACTGAAATTACTCAAAAAGTATTACAGTATTTTGACGGGTATTTTTAAATCTCTTGAAGAATTTGGGAATAGATAATGCTAAAAGGTATGACCTACACTCTACTTAAGTACAATTCACTTTTCAGTTTCAGAAATATTAATTTTAGCAGCTTGAATAAAAAATATTTTATCTTGTTCGCTATGCATTCTGGGATACTAGTGGATCCTCCTCTTGACTCAAGTTATCTGTTTTATGGTGTTTAAAAACACTGCATAAGCAGTACAACACAGCATTACTTCTCATCATGAGGCATGTAATAAAACTTTCGGCACAAATGAAATGATATTACTGTAAAACAGTAATGATGAAAAGGTAAATTATACACCGTGAAAAGATGAAAAAACTCACTGACGTTTCGGATGCTAGTCCTTCGAAGGACTCCGACGAAGGACTAGCGTCCAAAACGTCAGTAAGTTTCTTCATCTTTTCACGGTGTATAATTTACCTTTTCATCATTACTGTTTCATTAGAAACACCGACGCAGCTCACACTAGTTTTTAGCTAGTTATATCT